ATATATATATATATATATGTGTGTGTGTGTGTGTGTGTGTGCGCAGTGGAATATGTACATATCTGTTGTCTAATAGCTTAATCATAGCAGTACTGAATAAAAAGAATGAGGAGTTGCGTCACAATGACATTTCAAGATGGCCACCTCAGTGTGGAGCTCTCCAGTTGTTTTACAGTTTTTGTTGGTTTGTCCTGTTTTTTTGTTTATCAAATACAATCAGTTTTACCAGAGATGAACTGCTGAACATGGGCAGCACACACCACACAATCTTCTACCGGTTTTCATCTACCTGACTAACTCCTGCTGCTCTCCTGGAAAAATAACTGTCCTGCACTGTTTTACGTAAACCTGGCTGAATGACAGAGTTGGATATAACACGTTACTGTATTCTAATGACTTTTCCTGATTACGCAGTAATGTATTGCGTTACATTTTAAATGTATGTAATTTGATTACAGTTAATAATGTCAATAAAATTACTTTACTTAAGTTACAAATGCAGTGTTAAGAAAAAAAAAAGCATTTTAAAATCATGTTTTGGCGTCAGTAATAAATCGCTGGAGAATGCAAGCTAAAATGCAGATGAGTCCTACAACATTTAGATGCAATGAAAGGTTGCGTATTATATTTTAAAATATTGCACTCAATTTCACATATTTTAGTCTGGCATTATAGTTTGGGAAAAGTTCAACTAGTAAATGTGTACAGGTTTATGTCACAATAACACTAATAAAAGTGAAAATAAATGACTCATGAGAACGATATCCTCCGCTGGATTAAGCCGCGTGTCAAATTGCATTCTTCTGAGGTAAATACAAGGCTTAGTCCTCACAGCGCGTCTTTTTCCAAAAACAAAAAATGTATGGAGTCTTAATTTACGGAGGTGATGTGGGCGTTTACACGTCCGCGTGTCTCACGCGGATTATTATCATATAGAGCGTGATTGTATTGATGGTGAGGCGGAAGCCGAGGAAGAATCCATATGCGGATGTTTATTGAAGCAGTCCAACAAAACCAAACTCAGGGTCAGTAAAACAGGCAATGAGGTCAAAAACACAGTAAGGCAGTCCAACCAGGCAAACCGGCAAAAGGGGTAATCCAAAAGAGAAGTCAAAACGAACAGATCAACAGGTCATACACGTGGTAAGAAGGCAGAGATACAAACGCTTGGTAAGGCAGGATAAACTGGCAATACTTCGCAAGGTAGTCATGTGGTGGCCAGGTTAATATGGCCACTAAACAGGAAGTGGTTGCAGAGAAAGCAGAGGGAGTGCTAACAGTCAGTACTGATGCGCCCCACGCATTACCACATTACAGATAATGAACTCCGACTGGAAAGACTGGACCTGTTACTTTATCAGAGAATATTTGTTTTTGACATGACTTACTTCATTTAAAAGTAGACTCTTCAAGCTTTCTTTAGATGTACAGTTGTGCTCATAAGTTTACATACCCCTTGCATAATGTGCAAAATGTTAATCATTTAAACAAAATTAAAGAGGGATCATGAAAATTGCATGTTATTTTTTTTATTTAGTACTGTCCTGAATCAGCTATTTCACATAACAGATGTTTACATATACTCCACAAGACAAAATAATAACTGAATTTATAAAAATGACCCCATTCAAAAGTAATTATTGAATCTTAATAATCTGTGTTGTTTCCTGGATGATTGTTGTGATAGTTGTTCATGAGTCCCTCGTTGGTCCTGAGCAGTTCCTGCTGTTCTTCAGAAAAATCCCCAACTCCTGCGCATTCTTTGGTTTTCCAGCATCTTCTGCATATTTGAACCCTTTCCAACAGTGACTGCACCATCCCCCAGCACTGAGGCCAATCAAAAACCTGCTGAAGACCTGAATGAGTTCTTCTGTAGATTTACTGTAGATTTTCTCACACCTCACAACCATTTTGACCATCTCTCTACACAACCGTTAACTTTTTAGAAAGTCCCTGTTCCAGTTCTGCTAATTACAAGCCGAGTGATAGTCATACTTGCAAAGGTAATGTTAGTCATTAAACCAAACGAAATCAAAACTTTCAAAAACACCCAGCAATGTGATGGCAGGCAGTGACATTATTAATACCATCCAGCATCTTCTCCTTGACCTGCTTCCCTTGGTGTTTTTACACATAAAGGTGAAAAAATATATTGTACTGTCCAATAGAGTTACTATTGCAATTCTCAATGCAGCATGAATGGAATACAATGGTGACCTTTTTCACAATCACGACAAAAAATCGAAATACTGCCCTAAACTCGGTAGCAGAAAGGCAGCACGATCCTCCCAGTATGGCAGATAAACAAAGCAGTTTGCCAGAGCCAGAACTCAATGCGGCGCGACGTCAGCTTCACATTAAAATGTTATTATTTTAGTTATTTTTTAAAAGATAAACATCTTGTAGATTCTGCATATTGTATGTGATTGTGAGGTATCTATTTTTGTTTTATTTACAGGCGCTTCCTCTGTTACTGTGATGCTGAATCGCCCAACATCACTTCCTTGCTGCAGCGGTGAAAAAGTCGTGTGGAGGAAGACCTTCCCCATAAAAGCAACTGTTGCTGAATGCCAAAAGGAGAAATGCATCATAATAGAAACTTTTCGAGAAAGATTTGCAATCACGCGTGACGACAACTACTCTCTATTTCTTAAGTCAGCAAAATACAATGACCTGGGGCAATACGAGTGTAGCTGTGATGGCTTAATCAAGCAAGTTATCCTGGATGTTGTAGGTGAGTGTTTGTTTGCCTCACATTAGAGACACTTTAGATAATGCTTTAAATAGCACGAGTAGTTGAACGTACTTGTAAGAAATGTAGCTTCATTTTTATATTTTCCCTACAGTTCCTATAAACGTGACAGCTGTTGAGTTGGGAAATGTCACTCTCCCGTGTTATGCGGATACTCAATGCGATGTCAGGGATGTGACATGGCTACATAATGAGCAAAACGTTCTGCACTGCACTACAAATGGAGCCACAAACCCAGGCATCGGCTATGAGGACAGAGTATTGCTGACAGAGGACGGATTCAGAGACGGCGATGTGTCTCTGACCATCACAGGTGTCCAAAAGAGAGATGAAGGATTTTACCGCTGCTTCGTTGATGAGGAAAATATTAAAGGAAACCCACATGCCTACATGCTGCATGTCAGTGGTAAGACTAGAAAACCTCATCACATGAATTTATGTACTTGATATATCATTATGCAATGCCTATTGTATTGTTAGTTCTCAATTAGGTTTTAGGTGAATGTTACATTATTAACATTAATTTATCTGGTTGGTTTTACTACTAATGTTACACATTTTATATGGGAATGAGGGCTAAGCAACAGCTAAATTCATTTATAGAACTATTATGTAGTGGTGCATAAATCACGTACTTGAGTTAAAGTACAGATACCCAGATTAAGTATTACTCAAGGAAAAGTATAAATAATCTTTGCGAAGATTAGATAGGTAAGGATAGATTTGAGTTATTTTAGTATTCAAGTTAAACTAACTTAAAATGAGAAATGTTGCCTTGGCATCTAGTTGAAATTGGAAAAAAAAAAATCTTTATATATTTTATTTTAGTTAATGTTTGTTTTAGTCAACTACAATAACCCTGGTTGGAGCTCAGTCTGACATTACAATGAATTATTATGAGTCGTCAACTAGCCAGCAGTCAATAAGCTATTAAAAGTTAATGAGGTTCATTGAAAATAATTAGCTGAAATAAGTGATTTATTCACAAATCGTTCTGTAGACACTGCTGCTGGGTCCAGATTTCTTCAGTTTGAAATAACAAGGAAAATATCAAGCAGAATGAGCTTTGAAATGTAATGAAATAAAAGGCAAAGTTTCCCAAAATGAAAATACACTTTAAGAACAGAAAAAGAAACAAACACCGTGTGCTAGTTCTGTTCTTTAATTTCATGCAGAGAGGAGTGCAGGAGGAGACCAAACTGAGAGCAGCAACAAAGAAAAAACCCCAACTTGCTTAGGATTGATCTTACCTTTCTCACTCTTGATTTGCTTGCTGCTTATTCTTTTATGCCGTAAGAAGAAGGCATCACCCACAGAGGAAACTACAGATAGCGAGCCCGTACAGGAGAGTGACCAAAAGCATTCAACTCGTCCGTTTTATTCTGGAGAAGAGACCTATATGAACTGTCAAACCTGAGATTGAACGATTACAGTCATTCCACTCAAACACAGGAACATGATTGTTAGCAGTGTCATTCAGGTAACTGGCAGCTGCTTGTTTGATGCACAGGTGCAAAATATTGGGACCACAGAATGTTTTGAACACTGTTGTGTGAGTTGTGTACCGAGTTGGAAAGAGGGTACAAAATGTAGATAGATGGGAGACTTTTAATATTACTTCTTATATAAGACATTATTTACACAAATATATATTTATATTTCTAAATGATCAAAACTGTAGTTCATGAGAATAACAAATGTATGTATATGATGATAAATAACAGATTTTTCGTGGCCTCTTACAGTCTCCTCCTGAGCTTATTATCAGTCGCCATTCACTTTCTTTATTTTCAGTCACCATTGAGAATGTGTGTGAGTGAAGAAATGCACATATAGCCTCTTTTGTGCTGTATAAGGTATTGTTTTTCTTTTATCCTGAGCTGCCTTATTCCTGTTTTTCTTTGTTACATTACATCAAGGTGAATTTGTCTTGAGTGAGAAATGATTACTTTTAAGGTTTTTCATCCTTAAAGATTTAGGTGATTTGTTTGTGTGACAATTCAATCGATATAAAAAAAATGTTTACTGAGAAGACTCCCCTTTGCTTCTTTTGTGGCATGGAAGATGAGTCTGTCCCCATTATCTTCGTAATATTGCACGTCTTCGATCTTCTCTAACTCTAGCTG